AGAGAGCTGTAACCACCAGACAGGAGGGGATGAAGTGCCCTGTGGGAGGTGATCACCCCTTCCTTTCTGCTGGCTGTGGGAAGCCATGGCCAGCAGAAAGGAGGGGGGGGAGGTACCCCCTGGGAAGCACTTCACCCCTTCCTTTCTGTTGGTTGGGGAAAGCCACTGCCAGCAGACAAGAGGAGGGAAATGCCCTGTGGGAGGCACTTCACCTCTTCCTTTCTTCACCCCTTTCTTTCTGCTGGCTGAAGAAAACCAAGGCCAGCAGAAAGAAGGGTATGAAGTGCCCCCTGGTATATATACCCCTGGCTCACACACAGCTGTTGTTCCCCACTGGCAGCAGGTGCATTGCATGGCAGTTAGAACCAGAGAGGGAAGGGAACCGGAAGTCATTTCTCAGTGTGAACAGTGGGGTTGGGGGGGTTTGGTGCTTACTCAGGGATCTGAGCCACCTGTCCCTCTGCTCATAGCTGGAGCGGGGGGGGGGCATTCTACCACATCACAAAACAAATCGGTTTGGTAAACAGGAAGGTTCTTGGTTCGTGTGGCCCATGAACCGAAATGAACCTCGATTTTCCGTGGTTCGTGCCCATCTCCAGTTATCATAAAAGTCACAAGTATGTGTGCTTTTTGGATGGTTTGGTGAAGAAAATTGTTTCTACCTAGAAAATCATTTGGGTCACTTGTCCTCAAATGCCACAAATAAGCCATCCTGGATGAGATCCCCTGAAACTTTCAACCCTCTAGAGTCACTGCCACAGTGTATCAACACATGCATAAAGCATTAGGAAAATACACTGTCAGTGCGATCCTAAAGAGAAAGTGGAATGTAAAAAAGAGAGAAGGCCTGGAGGGGACATGATTGCAGTCTTCAAGTATTTGAAGGGCTGTCATGTAGAAGATGGAGTGGATCTATTCTCTCTTGCTCCGGATTGCGAGACTAGATCTAATGGGTGGAAATTACAAGGGAGTTGTTACCGGCTAAATATCAGGAGAAACTTCCTAACTGTAAGAGTGGTTGAGCAGTGGAACAGACTGGCTCGGGAGGTGGTGGATGCTCCTTTGATGGATGTTTTCAAGCGGAGGCTGGAAGACCATCTTTCAGGTATGTTGTAGGGCTATCTTTTGGCCATGCTCCTGCAGAGTGCAGGGGGTTGGACTAGATGACCTGCAAGATCCCTTCCAACTCTAACATTCTATGATTCTATGATTCTAAAGGGACTTACACTCCTCTAACTCCAGTGAAGTCAATGGTTTTAGAAGGTTCCAACTTTGCTTAGGATAGCACTGTGTGTGAATCAACCTCAGCAGTGACCTCCGTGTTCTTCATTGGATTTGTTATTTGAAGGTGGGCCTTTACCTACAATGGAATCTATGACACTAGCAAGCAACAAACTTATTCAGTGTTAGCAAGTAGACCTTTACATTGCATTACTACATCACTGTCTGAATACTGTATAGTAGCTAGACTGTGGCCTGTAATTCTTACATGGGCATAAAGGTTAGCTGTGGGAGGAATTACCTGGAACCTGCTATAAAGCTGGTCATGTCAACAAGTGCAGCAACATTCTTTTGTGTTGAATGCGTAGTGTGAAAAGGAAACTGGAGCATCAGTATAGGTGACAGCCACCACTGGTACAGAATGAAAATATTAAATACTAAAATCTTTCCATGTGGTTTCTGCTTCTACTGTTCTCAGAACTTTTACAAGCTGATGTGGATATGTTTTTGTGGATGTGCATTATAGAATACTAGGAATAAGGCCCATTGTGGAAATAAATACAAGAAGTTCTAGAAAGAGGCTCTAGGCAGGTGCCCTTGTCTTGGGCACTTAGCATCAATTTGCTGTGGTGACCTCAGCAGGGTATAATGACACAGAGCTTACCATTTTCTCCAGGGGAATTGATCTCTGCCATCTGAAGAGCAGTTGTAATTCTGAGTCATCTCCAGCCCTCCCCTGGAGATTGGCAACAACTGTTCCCTAGGAGGAAATAGCTGGTTTGGAGGGTAGAGTCTACGCCATTGTACATGTCTTGGAGGTGGCAACCCTATCTCCTCCCTAGCCAGCCATCAACGTACCATTATCTACCCCTCTGACTTCAGCTTTCCATCTCCCCCCCACACCTGGAGCCTCTACCTAGAAAAAGTACAGTCTTTCTCCTCCTCAATGGGGACCCAAGCAGGAGGGGAAGCAACCTTGGTAGGGTATAATGACTCAGAGTCCACCCTGCAATGCAGCCATTTTCTCCAGGGGAACTGATCTCTGTCATCTGGAGAGCAGTTTTAATTCTGAGTGATCTCCAGCCCTCACCTGGAGAACGGCAGCAATGGTTCCCCAAGAGGAAATGGCTGGTTTGGAGGGTGGAGTCTATGGCATTGTACCTGTACCCCACCCTCTCCAGACTCCATCCCTCAAATTTCCAGGAATTTCCCAAACCCGGAGGTGGCAACCCTATTTCCTTCCCAGCCAACCATCAACATACTGTTATCTGCTCCTCTGACTTCAGGTTTCCATCTCTTCCCCCCTCCCTGTAACGTCTACCTAGGAAAAGTACAGTCTTTCTCCACAGTGGGGACAAAAACAGCTCACATCATTCTCTTCTCCCCCTTTTGATTTGCAGAACAACCCTGTGAGGTAGGTTATGCTGAAACTCTGTGAGTGGTCTGAAATCACCCAATCAGCTCCCACAGGAAGAATCTGGGTCTGGAAGTGCTAACTCCTAGGTCACACTGGCTTGTCTTGGGGGGGGCACCTCAGCTTGTCTTGGGGGGCCACCTCAGCAGGGTATAATGACACAGTGCCCACCATTTTCTCCAGGGGGATTGATCTCTGCCATCTGAAGAACAGTTGTAATTCTGAGTCATCTCCAGGCCTCACCTGCAGATTGGCAACAATGGTTTCCTAGGAGGAGATGGCTGGTTTGGAGGGTGGAGTCTATGGCATTGTACCTTTCTGAGGTCCCACCCCTCCATAAGCCCCACCCCTTAAATCTCCAGAAATTTCCCAACCTGGAGGTGGCAACACTATCTCCTTCCGAGCCAACCATCAACCTACCTTTATCTGCCCCTCTGACTTCAACTTTCCATCTCCCCCCCGCTGCCTCTACCTAGGAAAACTACAGTTTTTCTCCACATTGGGGACCCAAGCAGGAGGGAAGCAACCTCAGCAGGGTATAATGACACACAGTCCACTGTGCAAAGCAGTCATTTTCTCCAGGGAAACTACCATCTGGAGAGCAGTTATAATTCTGAGTGATCTCCAGTCCTCACCTGGAGATTGGCAGCAATGGTTCCCCAGGAGGAACAGTACAGTTTTCCCCCACAGTGGAGACCCAAATAGCTTACATCATTCCCTTGTCCCCCTTTTGATCTGCACAACAACTCTGTGAGGTAGATTAGGCTGAAGTCTGTGACTGGTCTGAAATTACCCACTCAACTTCCACAGCAAGAACCTGGGTCTGGCAGACCCTGCACTGAAATGCTAACTGCTATGCCAAGGGTAGCCAACCTCCAGGTGGAGCCTGAAGATCACCAGGTATCACAAAACTCCAGACAACAGATCTCTCTCCCCCTGGAGAAAATAACTGCTTTGGTGGGTGGGCTCTATGGCATTCTATTCAGCTGAGGCCTCTCCCCTCCCCAAACTCTAGCTTCTATAGACTCTACAACAGAATATCCAGGAATTTCCCAACCCGGAGCTGGCAACCCTAGTTAGGACTGGACCTGTGAAGGGGTTCCTTTCTTTGTCTCTTTACTGACAGAAACAAGCTTGGTTGCATAGCAACAGCCACTGAGGGGAAAGTTAGTCCCACAGGAGCCAAGCAGGAGAAGTGTCTTCATCAGGAGAGACAACCGTTTTGATAGTTAATTCTGTGAAGGAAGAGTGTCCAGGCTGGCAGTGGCTGGGGGAGATGAGCAGACCCAGCACCCAGCCAATGGCATGCAAGTACTCTTGAGTGGCGGTTGATGGGCCAATGGCTGATAGAGCACACTGCACAGCCAATGGGAGAGCTAGAAATGACCAATATGTAAGGGAATTACACACATATATATATATGATGACTGTGGGAACCATCTTGGCCTCTGACGACTTTCAAAGTGTGTTTTTCCAAGAGTTTCTAATTTGACACCACTCTGATCAATGCAGCAACCACTGACCTCAACAGGCCGGAAACAAATTCAAAAATAAGATTATGAACAGAGACATATTAAATTGCCATTTCAGTGTGTGTTGAACCAGTTGAAAGAAGGGAACCAACAGCATACAAGGAAATCTACAAACTGTGAAATCTTTAAAGGGTAAAAATGGTTGTCCTTATTAAGGTTTAATATGCAGGCATGTCTCCCTTGTTAATAGTGTCTGTTTAATCTGTGAAGTATTTATCTTTTGGTCTCTGCATATGTAGAGTTGCATGCAACTGAAAAGTCTAACCAGTGGCCTAAATATTGCAAGAAGCAACATTAGCTCTACCTTCTGTCCCATAAAACCTCTGCTTTTATACAAGAAAGTAAGTCAGCCCTATAAGTCCTGAGAAATATGGTACTTCATACAATGTGTAAATTAATAAACTGTTCCGAATTTTTTTTAAAGGAAGCAGTGGAGTTACAAATGGAAAGTCAACACCCTCTAACATATTTTATTTAATGAGTAATCCTTGAAACCACAATGAAGTTTCTAGCCCTCACTTATGTTTTTAAAGGAAAATGTACTAGCACCTACATATATCTCCACACATGGCCCTATTTTCTTTTAGTTTATAGTCCTACACTGATTGTGGGTTGCCCAAAAAAAAGAAGGATGGATATGAAAATGTCCATATTTTACCATGTCTAAACTTGGGACCCAGCACCTATGCTTTTCATAATGAGACCACAGATTTTGTTTACTGCGAACACAGAAATACAGGCTGAAAGAGATTGCTGTTCTATCACTGCCTCTTCAGCCTGTGCCACATGCAAATAATCAAAATTAAAAGAAAGTAATAAAAAAGTTGACTAACCTAACCCACCTGAGCTTGGCTCACAGGGATCAATGTCCTCATCGTCGCTGGGGCATTCAGCGGAGGCCACCAAGATGTCATCCGTGGTCTGCGAAGGAAACAAAGAGCCCATTTGAGTTAATCAAAGTGGTCCAAATGACCTGCTCTTCTCTGGCACAGCTCAGGGTTTGCAGGCAGTCCCTGGTGATGACTGCATCTTAGAGAATCACAACATTCCGAAGGTATGTTCTAATAGTGACGTGAGATTCTTTTTTTACTTGAGAGCTCACAAAAGATTATGTCAGTAGTCCAGTGGGATGATCACTGCAGTAATACTTCATCCCTTGTGTCCAATCACGTCCCTTTTGCTCCCTCTGATCTTTATCATTTCATCTCTTTTCTGCTCTTCCTTCAACGGCTCTCTCTGTGTTTGGACAGTGTCCCAAACCTGCTTCCCTCTTGTCCTATTTTTTCATGATCCATTATTGGAACAAGGAAGTTGCTGAACCATACTAACTTTAACTCACCTGTACTCCTTCTGTTCTGAGACCATTAATGTCAGTTGTCAACCTGGAAATTGCTAGAGTACAGAATCGATTGCTTCCCCAGCTCAATGATTCTACATGCACTTGTGGGTCCCTCTTCCTTTCCCACCATACAATACTCTATATGCATGGTCAGGCCCAAAGCATTTTACCACATGCTTCAGAATTTCCCTTATTTCTTTTCCTAAGCATACCTCCTTTTACTGAAGCGGAGACCATTACACTTTGAGGGGCTAAGTGGTTTGTATGCACAAAGTCCAAAGCTCAGTTCCCACGTTTTCCATCTCCCACAGTGCCCTGAGGTCCTTGGAGGAAGGCCAGGATAAAACATATATTACAGACAGAAGTGCAAGATTTCTGCTGTACCTTTCCAGCCACTCAGGAAAAAAAACGAATGAACACCAATGAGCTTTCTGTGATGCAGATGCAGCTGAGAGCAGGGTTTTCAATTTTTCCCCTTTAATTGGAAGATGAAAGATGGAAGGAAAATCTGCTATTAGTAGCACCCATGATAAACGTTCCTAATTTGCAGGGCAGCTGCTTTGAGAGTTTTCATTAAAGGAGGATTTAGAAGGCAAAGGAGAATCCCTCTCTTTGCCACTAGCATCTAATGGGATGACATACAGAGCAATATAATCATAATAATGCAGGATTGGATTAGTGTGTCTCTTGGGTGACTGGTCAAATTCATCTTAGTATTATGCTTTAGCTTTATTCTGTTTTTCTTTCAAAGTGTTAAAAAGACAGGTGTATTCAGGCCAAACTCAAAGGATGATTTGGGAGATCCATGATTAGAATCTCCCCAAGTGCCTTTAAAGGTTAACAACAACCAGGAAAGGGGGAACGATTAGATCAGGGCAGTAATTCCATGGGGAGGAAGATTTAATCCTTCTCTCCACACCATTTTCACAGGTTTCAATCCCTTCACTCCATCCAGAGCTGCTATTTACTCTGTAGAGAAAAAAATATATACGCAGTAGGTAGGCAATGCATGTATGGCAAAGAGAAGCTTGGGGGTGGGGGAGATGCATATCAGGAATATGGGACAGAAGGAAATGTTTAACCTCCAGTATTCTGTGGCTCTGCTCTTACTAGAGATGGGCACGGACTGGGAAAATGCAGTTTGTGTGGGTTTGTGGTTGAACCACAAACTGAATTGAACTGGGGGGTTCGGTCGCAAACTGGACCGGTTTGTGGCCCTACAAACCCTGTTGAAAGGGACCACAGTCCCTTTAAACAGGGTTTCTAGAATGCAACCCAGCCCAAAACAGCTGAGCAGTTGGGAGCAGGCGCTTCTAGCAGCTCAGCTGTTTTTTTTGGGTGTCTTGTGCACTCCCTTTAAAGGCTGCAAGACAGCCTGAAATAGCTGAGCAGCAGAATCCCTTTAAATCCCTGCTTTTTGCTCTATCCACAAACACCATGGACTGTTTTAAAAGTTCATGAAAGTTGAAGAAGAAGCAGAAGAAGAAGAACAGGAGGAGGAGATTGGATTTATACCCCACCCTTCACTTGGAGTCTCAGAGCGGCTTACAAACTCCTTTCCCTTCCCCTCCCCACAACAGACACCCTGTGAGGTGGGTGGGGCTGAGAGAGCTCTTTCCAGAACTGTCCTTGAGAGAACAGCTCTGACAGAACTATGGCTCGTCCAAGGTCATGCAGCAGCCTGTCACGAACTTTGGTTCATGAACCATGAACAGGGAAAATTCGTGATGAATTTGCTTTCATGGTTCATGCCCATCCCTAGCTCTTACCCCCCCCCCCGGGCTGGCTGCTTTTAGGTTTTTAAAAAAACACACCAGGAAATCCTAATAACAGATCACCTAGAATGCATCTAGTGCACCCTTCAACTGACCTTTCTTCACTGCAGGTCTCCCTTCTTTTTGCATGAATGTAGGTCCACTTCACACATCATATTTTAAGTAAAGTGTTTTAAGAGAACACATAAAATGTAATAGGTAAATGAGGCAAGCCCTGACCTGGATAGCCCAGGCTAGCCTGATCTCTTCAGATCTCAGAAGCTAAGTAGAGTCAGCCCCGGTTAGTATTTGGATGGGAGACTTCCAAGGAATACCAGGGTTGCTATGCAGAAGCAGGCAATGGCAAACCACCTCTGAAAGCTCTTGCCTTGAAAACCCCACAGGGTTGTCAGCAGTCATCTATGACCTGATAGCACTTTCCACCAAATCAAGCAAAGATATGAGCCTTTTCAGATGCCATTTATGTCTGCACATACTGGGAATCCAGTAACTATACCGCCCTTCCCGCACATGGGCTCAGGACGGGTAACATCAAAATTTCATTTACAATATAAACAATTGTCAGATTAGAATTTCAAAATCAGATTAAAAATTTAACTAAAATGAAGACATGGCTTTCTGTATTAGCTCGAGCCGCTGGATAAGTAATAACCTCAGGCAATTTTAGTAGGGCTGCTTTGTAGGGGAGGCCATGTGATATTGGGAGCATACTCTTTTCAATCTGCATGGTCATTATTAGGGACACCATTCATATACTGCATGTGTAGCTTTGGTATGTGCAAACCAATCACTGTATTTTCCAAAAGTCTGGGTTGCACATGCCAACCAGTATAACACATGCAAAATACATACAAATCTAATAAAATAAAATAAATAAAAAAATAAATGCAATGTTCCTGTTTGGAAAATATGGCAACTGTGCATATCAGTAGGAACGCACTCCCGATACCCATCGTTGCCAGCCTCCCAGCATGTGCCTAGTCTTAAAAGGACTATGCTTGGCAACACATATATCATACAGGTGCAGAGAGCTAGGAGTGGCTAGACACCTGTGTTTGCTGTCACATCATAGTGGAATGGCTGCAGTCTGCATGATATTCCATATCTAATGTCATAGCAAAGGGGAGTTTGTTTCAAATAACCAGAGGATATTCCTAGTGGAGAAGTGGGATGCATGTCTTTTTGTTTGAAAAGATGGTCAAGAAAGTGATGAAACTTCTCTGAATCTCAGCGTCACACCCATGGTGAAGTCTGGAAACTAGTGAGCAACCCCACACTCGGAATCTGACCAGTGCTGTGTAAGAGTTTCAAGACCTCTTATCCTTTTGCCACAGCAGTGGCAGACATGAAAGGTCACTCATAAACTTACTGGATTAGAGGACGTTTCAGAGCAACTGGTAAATATATTGAAGATGCTTATTTATTACCCGTTCTAACAGCCCATTCACTGTATTTTGATTGTGGCTTTATGAAATACACGGACAAGTTTTTGGCAGTCAGTTCTCACTAGCTATAGCACATTGGTTATTCATTAAAAATGATGCCATAAACCATTTTTAATGATAATTTGGATTGGACACAGTTATGTCAAAGTATTTGCTAATAATGCTGCTCCATATTGTCAGGGACTTATTCAACAGATGCTCACAGGGTCCATGCATCCTATGCATGTGCACACCAATGGTCTGTGGCCCTGAAGGCATATGCATATGGGCATATGATATACATTACAACTTCTTTTGGATATGATGTTGGATGCTTGGAAAACCGCATGCACAAGTGCTTTGTCTGTGGCCAACATCTCATTTCAACGGGGTCCTCATCTACATGAAAGTCCTGTTGAGTTTCTACTGCTTGTAAAAGACTACATATTTACAAAATATCAACTAATATAGACATTAGATTGACACCAAAGCAGTCCTTGTAAGAATGGAAGCCACTTCTACTTGGGCAACAGAAGGTGTCTGTAATTTCTGCAGATTTCTCCCTTGAACTGCATCCTCCTGTTCTTTTCCATGGGTTTCCTCACCATTAGGAGCAGCTGCAAAAGACAGGAGGAGGCAGGAAAGATCTGTTCCGTGCCATTATCTGCTCACAGACCTTGAGATCCATCACACTAAATTATTTCCTGCAGTGATACCCTTCTCTGGACTGTATTACCTGGTTCGTTAATAGATGGCATACTGTAGTAGTTAGTGTGTTGTACTAGGTTTGGGGAACCCTAGGTTTAAATGTCCACTCAGCCTTGAAGTTCTCTGGATGACTATGGGCCAATGGGGGGGGGGATGCTCTTACACTCTGTTGTGTTCTTCCAATTGAACATAAACATTTAAAGTGAAAATAACTGGTTAAGTTTTTTTAGTGGGCTCTTCAAATCTGGACATATTACATTCCTGAGGAGAAAGATACATTTGCTGAAAGCCAACACCTGGCTTTTAAAAAGAAAATAACAGAACCTAAACTGATGAGATGGCTGGCAGAAACCAACAGGGTATGAAGAATTAGGATGGAGTTAATGTGTAAAAAAATAAAATTTCATTTCAGGAGGCTAGATTAACTGAGCAATTTTCTCGCCAAGACTGTGTAATTTAAATTTAATTTACTGTGTGTGAAGCTGATCTTTCTGACTGGCTGTTGAGACAGTAGTAGAAAGAAAACTGAAATATGTCACATTAATCAATTCTGTTCTTCAGCTGACTCCCCCCTCCCAGTTCATAAAACCTTCATCTGTACAAGAAGTCTGCATGCGTGTCCCACATCTGCTCCCCCCATGAAACACTAAACAAAAAACCACAGTCCTGATTCTC